TTCTCTTGAGATACCTTCTGAAGCTTCAGCAGCTAGGCAGTGTCCGGTTAGGAAAGCTCTTATTTTTGAGTAGCAATGTCATAGTGCAGAAAAAAATCTGGAAGGTAACGTCATGTCAATTACCTTGTTGGTACACATATGTTAGATAGCTGGCTCACAGAAAAACTGGGCTATTTCAGCAGCAGATGTGTTACTGCAGCCCTGAACACAAAAGCTCTATTGCCAACGTCCTTGAGACTGTGTTCCCCCAACGAAGCAAGGAGGGAATTTTGAGGATGCTGTTTTTTAAGACGGTCATTGGAGGGTTTTACATCTTCCTAATACTGAGTATGGGATCATTCAAAAGGCTACCATCCCAGCTCTTGAGGATAATATTTTTGCTAATTCACAAGGTATTTTAACCTACATAGAATTGGTTGAACACATAAGCAGGTAAAATTGTATTTCCTGACAATTGCTACATCCTACTATTAACATGCTAAAAGCAGTTAAAACTCACAAGATTTTTGTTGTAAATGGGACTTAAGGATCTATTCTCAGGTATGCTTAGTAAAAAATAGAAAGAAAGGACGAAAACCCATTGTGAACAGAATAAAATTTCAGATGATGATGGTCTTTCTATAAGGATAGTTTTTACTACAAACATCTTTTTGTCAGTGTGGGTAACATGAATTGAATTTGCATTTATCTAGCTGCCTATTTGGTAAGCATTATGACATTCTGCATTATTCTCTATATTGCAAACTCTAATGTAGTTTCTGTTGTCTTTACAAACAAGAATATAATAATTTCTATTAAAATTTCACATAGTTCCCCTGAAAGGTCAGCAGTCAGCATCAAGTACTAGAATTTTGTTGACTAGACCACTGTCCAGTGACTCTGCTCTGGTCTTTCTGAGCCAGTCTCATCTGGCAGTGGTAACTGGTGACTCATCAGGAAGGCAGTGGTAACCCGGAGATCAGTTGCAGTGTCAGGTTGTGCCTGTGAGCAATAAGTATAATTCTTCTGTTCTCTCTTTTGTTAACCTCTTCTGGTGTGTTTCTGCTCTCCAGGCCTTCAAACCTCTTACCCCCACCGCTGGTGCTGGCCCTGGCCCCTAAATCCAGTCTCTTCCTTGCCTATTCCTGAGAGTAGCCAGTAGCAGTTGCTGTGACTGCCTTGGTTGCTGTGGCTCAGAAGGATCTCCATTCATGTGGGATTTAGGTTCTACCTGCTTTCTACCTGCATGTGTTGCCTCTGCTGCCAGTGGTGTGTGTTCTGTGGTTTAGGATTTCCTCACTGATGAAAGCTGTAAGAAGCTTAATAGGGCACGATCTTTCAGCTGATTTACATCTGGCACAGGACAAAGTAGCACTTCCTTTAATTTTAAGTCCGTCTAATCTGACAGTGTGATTTCATCGCTCTTACCACTGCTTAGTTCTGCTCTGGAGTCTGTATATTGGACCCTGTGGTCCAGGTAGCAAATTAAATAATTGGATTCCCAATTACGGTATGTCAACTTAGTAATTTTGGTTTTCATATGTGCCTCCCTGTATTTGAGAGAAAAATCTTCCAGGACATTCAAGGCAACAGATATGCTTAGCCAAAGGGAATTTTTGTGGCTTGTTGGATAGGAGTAATAACCTCTTTAGATTTATAAGAAAAAAGCTCAGAAAATGTGGCCAGATGTCAACTTAATCCTTTGAAGTGGTTTTTCTCTTCCCTGAATTCCCAGTACCAGAATACATCTTACAAGGTGGAGTGTTCTTGTCAGCCTGCTTTTGTACCGCTGTGCTGTTCTACAAGAACCCTAGTTACCTGTAGCCCATCATCAAGACAATAATGGCGTTGTCAGAGACCATTTTTAACACTTTTATTGTCCTAGATTTCTAGTTGTATTGCTCATTTTTCCCCTTAACCTCTTGGGTTTCCATTTTTTTCAATAAAACTTGGCCTTTTTTCTTCATTTAAAAAAAACCAAAAACAAAGCCTGTCAGAATACAGTGTGAGCTATGCTACCCCTGCGAGGAAAACTAGTGAACAGAAATTTGGAGCACCTTGAGCAGCCAAGCAACTTAGCTTATTCTCTGACTGCTCAACTTGGCTCTGTGAGTTTTATGCCCATACCCCATGTTCCCTACCCCACTGATGTTAGGATCCAGTTGGGATGAAAGGACTGTTTTCACCAGGCATTTTGCTAGGCAGTTCAAGAAAGAAGCTAGGCTTCTTGATAATTATGAAGTATAATTCACATGTTGGGCTTCTTCCTTTTGCTTACAGGTAACTTGGCATTACGGTGTTAATAGAAACACCATTTTCAAGAACTTAAGAATAAACAAAATGCTCCTGTATTTCATTTTTTCTATTAAAATCAATGCAAAGAATCAAAGTAAATTTTTTCCATGTGTGTTTTTGTCCTGGTTTGAGTTAAACAGAACTAATTTTCTTTTCAGTAATTTCACTTTTCAGATAAGCCTCTTCTCATTCTCTTAGCCTTTATATGTTTAAGATGGCAATCTAGACAGAAGTAGTAGTCTGTGATTTGTTTGTTTCCCAATTTTCAGTAATAGTAAGCTCATAATTGGCAATTGCTGCCTTGTATTGATTTTTTGTGTGCTTTCAGTTTATGTATGACTTTTCTGTCCCATTTTCTTACCCGATGAAAGTGACACTGATAGTTGAATCTGTATTGTGGAAAGACTGAGATTTATATTACTGTTTTCTTAGAGGGAAAAAAAGAGAAAAAGTTGAAAATACTTATAAGTTAGTTGTGTATACTTTGTGGTAATTTTATTAATTTGAAAATTTTAAAGACTAATGGAAACAGATAAGATATCTGATGAAATTCCCATGCACATGTAAGACTAATATGAGGAAAAAAATCTCCTTTGAACTTGAATTGTGCCATTTCTATCCTTTATTAATAAATAGTCAGATAACTGGGGGAATGGGATAGTTCAAAGCATATTCTGAAGTGGCTGGTGAAAAGCAACACAAGAATTTCATTTGATGCCATTGGCAACAGTATTTGCTGCTTCAGTGGTTGTCAGGAAGGGAAACAGAAGAACATCTTGTCTTACACCCATAGTTGTCTTAAACTGTGAACACTACTTCTTCAATTCTCTTTGTTAAAACCTTTCTGAGCTAACTGTTGAAAGCTAGGGAAGCAAGGGCTGCTTTAACAACAAACAAACAAACAAAAGTTAGATTTCTTAAAAGCTTAGTTCTTCCAGCATGCATAATATAATATATATCTGCATTAGCTTATAGCATATGTGCATCTATGTATACACACATATGTATTTGCCCTTATGTATGATGATGTGGATGCGGTTTTTGTGCATAAATGGGTTTATGTTTGTACATTGTATGTAATGTGTGTATGCTTCAAGGCACAATGTGCATCTGTTCACATAGCTTAATTTTTTTCAGGAAAAGTGTCTTGAAGGTTGTGCTTGTGTTTACTTATGAGACTCTGAAGGCTGGATTTTCCAACCAATTAACTACAAGTTTTAGATATTTTCCAAGTAGCATCCTAGTGACTCTTTTTCCAAATAAGGGCAAGTTCAGAGCTGCAGTTTGGACAATGGTGTCTCTTCTGGTTTTGTTTGGAAATCTGTGTAGAAATGACCAAAAAAAAACAAAAGGGAAAAAAAAAGATAAATTTGTCTTTCTTACTTCTCGGTGGCTACATAGGATCATAGAATGTTCCAGGCTGGAAGGGACCTCCAAAGGTCATCTAGTCCCACCTCCATGCAGTCAGCAGGGACACCCCCAACTAGACCAGGTTGTCCAGAGCCTCATTGAGCCTCACCTTGAGTATTTCCAGGGAAGGGGCCTCAACCACCTCCCTGGGCAACCTGTTCCAGTGCTCCACCACCCTCACAGTAAAGAACTTTCTCCTAATCTCCAATCTAAATCTGCTCCCCTCCAGCTTAAAGCCATTGTCCCTCGTCCTATCACTACAGGCCTTTGTAAACAGGCTCTCCCAAGCCTTTCTGTAGGCCCCCTTCAGGTACTGGAAGGCCACTATTAGGTCTCCCAGGAGCCTCCCCTTCTCTAGGCTGAACAACCCCAGCTCCCTCAGCCTGTCCTTGTAGCAGAGGTGCTCCAACTCCCTGATCATCCTTGTGGCCCTCCTCTGGACCCGCTCCATCAGGTCCATGTCTTTCCCATATTGAGGGCTCCAGACCTGGACACAATACTCCAGGTGAGGTCTCACCAGAGCAGAGCCAAGTGGCAGAATCACTTCTCCGGACCTGCTGACAATGCATCTTTTGATGCAGCCCAGGATGTGACTGGCCTTCTGGGCTGCAGCTGCACACTGCCTGCTCATGTCCAGCTTCTCATCCATCAGCACCCCCAAGTCCCTTTCCTCAGGGCTGCTTTCTAATACCTCACCCCCTAGTCTGTACTGATGGCGAGGATCGTTCTGGCCATTGATTTACATGTTAGTAAGTCGCTCTAAGTTCTCGCTGTATTTACTGGAAGGGAATGGCCATTTCTAGAACATGTCATCCTAAATTAAGTGTCTGCAGTAAGAGGATAAATCACTCCTTGAAAGTTCCTATTTCTCCGAATTGACTGTGAAGCAAGTGTAATGGATGACTTGCCAAGATGCAGGTGTATACTTGTTCTGAGTGAGTCTTTTATTTAGTGCTGTCCTCTGCAGACCTTCCAATTGTCAATTTTTACTTTTCCCTTAAAGGGAAATGAGTAGAATCATTTCTCTCCCCCTGCCCCTATGCTTATTACTGTTAGGATGGAAATATTACAAGGTGAATATAGTCATTTAAATGTATTGCAGTAGGAGGATAATTGCATAGCCCTCTGGGAGCATAATAATCAAACATTAGCAAGTAAATAAACAAAAACATAGGAAAGATGACATATAAGTAGTTCCTGAGATAACCTGGTAGTCTGCAAGCCATTTCTTGGTGGCTTTCAAACCATTACTAGATTAAGCCTTTCCTGCAATGGTAATGTCAAAATCACCTACACTTGTTTGTTTTGACTTTCAGGTAGTTTGAAATAAGGATACCCAGCTATTTTGTGATTGCAAACTACAATTATGCCAGGAAGCTGATTCTGCAGCTGCTTGTGAGTGCAATCTGAAGGCCTGCAACGTGCCAGTGAGCATCAGCAAGGACGCAGGGCATTCAGTAACCAGGAAAATGACTGGCTTTCTTGAGGAAGAAACAAAGAAGCAGCCTTTATTTCTTGCCTAGTTGTAAGGCAAAGCAATGCAATATTGACACCTGGTTAACTTAAAGAAGTATTTTTTTTAAATACCTTTTGACTGTGTGGGTCTTGCAAGTCTGATACAAACGTGCTTCTGGACTTGTGCAAATAAATCACTGGAAGAATCGATTGGAGAAAGCAGTCATTGAAAGAGTAGCTGTTGAAGAATCATGACGAAGCACTTGGAGATCATCAATTTGTCATTCTTGTTGGAGCATGAAAGGGAAACAATATTGGGAGTACTGAAGAGAGATGAATATCTGAAAAAAGTTGAAGATAAAAGGATAAGGTAACCCTTTTTATTATTGTTAAAAAATATATTCTGTGACACAGATATTTTTATGGCACCTAGCGAAGATTTTCTAGATGCACCGGGAGAAGGATGAGTGTTGGGAGGCAGCACAGTTAAAGTAAAGTGTATTAGAAAGAAAGAAAATTGCTTGGTATGTGGTAAATAAAAGATTTTTTTTTCCCATTGCTTCAAGGAAAAAAAGTAAGAAAGATAACAAGTGCAAAAATATATGGCAAATTTTTTTAAATTTCAGATTCAGTAGATTTTGCCCAGTTTGGCTGAATTTTCCCCCTGTGAATGGGAGGGTTTAGTAAGGTTCCTGAACTTTCTTCCTCTGAGAGGAACTCTAAGCTTTATGAGGAAAGGGGAAGTTTGGAAGGTGTTGCAGGGAGAGAAAGTAGGTGTCTGCCTCTGTACAGAACTCCATGCATCATGGTGCAAAGGTGAGTTAATGGTCTTTTTCTTTCTGTTGCATTTTTTTTCTGTTCTGTTACAAAATTTTCATTCTGATTTCATTCTGTTACAAAATAGGGAGGAGGAGGAGGGACATTTCATTTTTCAAATGACGTAGATTTACTAATATATAAATAAAATTGAAGTTCTCAGGTATGGATCTCAAAAGTTGCTGATGGGAGAAGTAGAGACTCAGTGTATTATGAGAGTCCATGTGTTATTTTCTGAGAAAAAAAAGGTAAAAATCAAAGTTTAGAGAACAATGTGTGGGGGCAGGCTGAGAGTCAGCTCTTTTAGATGACTCAGATTCAGTTAGTTCAGCTAAGCGTCAGTTCTGCAAAGGTTCATATGCTTTTCCAGTATTTTGTTGCTGCTTCCTCTCGCTTCTACCCACTGCCCTTTTAAACTTTTATACAGTGCTAGTTCTGAGAAACGAGCTTAGTGTGGATGCGTGCAGGGCTTGGTGTTGGTGAGGCTGCTGAGTGTAATGGATGAGAAAGGGAGGATTTCCAGCCTTTGCTGGTTTCTGTCCATGTATTCCAAGGCATTGTTCTTCCCTTTGATTTGCTAAAAAGCATTTTAAACATTGTGCGTTGCAGAGATGTACATTTAGCACCTGCGAAGGTTTCTTTTGTATAAAACTACTATTTGGAAATCCATGCAGAGCTAGCCGCCGGTTTTGGAAGTCTTTCTACCTTGAGAGAACCAAGTCTAAGTGCAATGCCCCAATTGGCATGCAGCCCATTTGACTGGGGAAACAGAGCAGCCCATCTAAATAGAGTGGGCTAAAACTGATTGGTGCTTCTGCTGCAAGACTGGAAGAAAAGGTGTTTCTTTGTGTTGGTGTGGGCAAATTAATCATTTCATCGCCTTCGTGATTTGTCAGATGAAGAAGAAAACAGAACACAAGACAACAGATGGAGCACTGTTTGTTCCAGGCATTGTAGTCTGTTTTGTAATAGGCTAAGCATTTCAAAGTAAGTATTTCAGTTTTCTAAGGTGGTGGCCTTGGAAATGTATGAAGTGCCAATAGTCATCGATTTCAAGCGTTGGTATGAAGTGCAGATCACTAGCTTCTCAAACTCTCAGAAAGCTTTCCTTTCTACTACTGTTGTTTCCCAAACTCAAGTGGAAAGTTGAAACTCCTGAGTTTTTATAGACTTTCTTTGGTTGGTTGATTTAGATTTTTTGTTGTTTTTTTAACATGATGTCTTAAACCCCCTAATTTTCTGAGCTTTTTGGCACTACCGGAGTCCCTCTGCCAAAACTACCAAGTTTTAGAACCCAAGGCACCTCTGGAGGATGCGGTTCAGTAAAGCAACAGGTGGTATTGACTTATCTGTGTTTTGGTACAAATGGAAAGAGCATCCAAAGAAAAGGCTGAAAATGAAGTTAATCTGAAATATAATGATGTTTAGGATGTGATGCTTATGCATAAGCAATGAGATGATTATGCATACTTCTAGCACCTGTATATGAACCAATTGGTTTCAGATTAAGAGTATATTTGGAGAATTGTCACTACACCATACTGTGCCTGATAATGGTAGAAAGTAGTTTATAAAAGACATCCAAGATATACAAACTATAAAGAACTAGGTATGTAACTGCTTCCTAGGAGACTTCATAATTTTTCTTTCTGAATACAGCTTGGCAAGGATATCTTTAATTATGGCTTATAAGTATACTTCAGAGGAACATTTGTTGTCTTAGGAATTCCATTTGGTGCAATCTGTTCAATATTTTATTGAAGTACTTTGCAGAAGAACAGGTCCCTTTGTATTTATTTTCAAGGCTTTTTTCATTTTGGCAAGATGCTTACTTGTACATTGTACTGAAGAATTTTTATTATTGTGTTAGTTCTTGGTAATCGTGTTTTCTGTTCCTATTAGGCTTCAAAAGCCATCGTAACTTGAAAGGGTCTTTCTACGCAACATGAAAGCAATAATAAGTGTAGGAGTCCAAATAATGAAATTGTTAAGAGTTATTTTCACTGTCACTGCTCATACTTGTGTTCTGGAGTGCAGGTGGCTGTTCTTGTGTTTTTATTTGATGTACAAATATTTCACCTTCATGCGAGAGAAACACAGAAGGCAGCAAGCAGTCTTTCTGTGGTCTAGTTTTGATAATACAAATAAGCAACCTGCTCAATAAATGTTAGGGTTTATGTTCTTAACTTTAAGTGTGCATTTTGCGTGACTGGAAGTTTTCTTTGAATATTGATTCAAAGGTGTTAGTAGATTACTTGTGCAAATAACCTACAGTGTTCTAAACATTGCTCTACAGTATTTTTGACATCAGTAGAATGACATCATGACGGTTTTCAAATGCTAAGATTATTTGGGTGAAACTGGTAAATTACATAGAGCTAAAATAGCTAAAAATAGTGAACTTAACCATATTGAGGATGAAAATTAGGGTGTTTCTTTTTTTAACACCTAAGTTGCTGGGAGAAACTTGCATCCAGATAATGTCAGTCAGGACACTCTGAACTGAATGTTTTGGTCTGAAACGTGTATCTTTTTCGTTATTTCCCCATCCTTCTACTATTTTTTAATAGCTTTTTTCTTTAAAGACCCTTTTTATGAAAACCCATATCACATTTAATGTGTAGTGTGGCAAGTCATGAAAACACTACTAAATGGAAAGAATGTATTTGCTGAAAGCGGGGTGTACCCTGTACTGGGTGTGTTTCATCTAACTGCTGTTGGTTTGTTTCTGTTCCAACAGCAGCCCCAGTGCATCCTCCCCAGCTCTGGTGTTACACAGGGAACTCGGTCTGGTGGTCATAGCATTTTGCATTTGGAGCTAGCTCTTCACCTCTGCTCTGCTGCCACAGAGCAAACATGCAGGACACATCTAATGCTTACCTGTGTTGTTTTCTTACCTTGACTATTTTTCTAGATAACGTTTAAAATACAAAGGTTCTTTTCATTCTTTATGAAGCATAGCTGTGAATACCATGCTTTTAGAAGAGGAGACAACAGAGTAATAATTGCTGAACTGAGAGAACAAAGGAGGAGGTTGCCAGTTTATTCCAAGGATAAGGCTTTATTGGGTTATTACTGGAATCATTCCCTTAGCATTTAGGTTGCCACAAGTAATGTAAGAATTCCACCAACCCCTATTCTGTATTGAAAAGGAAAGTTGGCATTCCCGTCTTTTCAGTTAGCTAAAATGGCATCTCCTTATGTGTCTGAAGAGATCCATAGAACCAATTTAGGGTATTAACTTCATTACAATGTAGGAGAAACTGTTAGCATGGATACCACCGTGTGGTAACTACGGGTAAGTACTTTAGAAAATAAAATACTGAGTAACGGGAATGGGCATTGACTGCTTGTTGATTATACATTTGGACTTGTTTATAAGCACTGAATGATTGCAAGAGAGCATATAGTATTGTATATGGTCTCTGTTTTTGGCCTATAAATATTTTAAGGAAAGAGTCCTTATGTTACAACATATTGCTCATCCATACTTGTATGGGAAGTTAGGAGGTTGCTTGTCTGGCAGCTATCTCATTTGTCAAGTGAATTTAACACATTGCTATTCTTTGAACCAGAGACTTTTCCATCAAAAACTAGTTGCTGTTCCCAGTAATCTAAGGGCAGAGATGCCTGTTTTGCTCTCCAGTGTTCTTCGAGTACGAAGATACTCCTTTGCTGAAAATTTGTGATGGTGATTGATTCTCATACTCTGGGTACAATTTATTTTATCAAAGACTAGTAAGAAACCAACCAGCTGTTTGCATTTTACTTGAGAGGATGAGGTATTTGCTCAGAAAACAGTTCATCTGTGGAAGTTTGTCATCATTATAGTATCCAATATCATTTCAGTTTCCATGCCTCCTTCCTTGTCTTCTGCCATTCGTTATGCCAGTTCTCTTTTCCTTTGTAAATTCATTCTTTGCCTTTCCCTGTTTCTTTTTGTTGCCACCAATATACCTCTGTACTCAGACATTCTTAAGGCAGTTTTTGTCATACAGATCTGTTACATACACAAAATATGAAAATCTGTGCTTATAAAATAAGAACCTAAAAAATACTTCAGGTACTCAAATGGCTAGATTTTACAATGCAAGGAGATCTCAGTGGATATTGGTAATACTCCATCCTTTTGTGAATTGTCAAAAATATTTACTCTTACTTTCCACATGTTGTGTCAGACAGTGGAGAGAATCTGCTTGAATTTGGAGGAGGTACTGGCAATCAGTCCAGGGAGGAAATTTAATTTCTCCCTCAGCCTCCAGAAGTGTCTTGATACCAGTTTGTGCACACAAAAATTCTCTAGTATTTAAGTTAACAGCTGCACAGCTTCAGAAGGAGGATGTGTCAACTCATTCATATAGGAAATAGAACTTTCTTGAGAAACAGGTGCAAGACTGGAACAATCTCATATATTTAATTTTTTTGCCAGCTGACGTCTTTAACTATAGTTGGTTGAGAACAGCTTTGTGGAGGTTTTTTAACTGTATTTTTTTAATAACTCTTTGAACTCTGGAATTTAGAATGGCAAAATAAAATTAGGAATACTTGGATTTT